GGGCCAGCTGCTAGCGCGGAGCCTCGACCGGCAGCCGCTACTGTCAAACCTGCAGACCCCCGCACAACTCCTAGGAGTGCGAGCACGACGTGAAGAAGGGGATCCTCGAGGTGCAGAGGCGAGTAACTGTGCCCGGGGAGTGGCCAGGCAGGAAACTCCTCCAGGGGGTGTCAAGCCCTAAACTGTGAGGAGACCTGTAAATCCCCATCCCTCTTCCTCCCTTGTGAGAAGTGGACCTTATGTCTTGAAACTCAGAATTTAGGGTATGGAGATGGACCCAGGGAGTGGAGTGGATGGGACAGCCCCTTCAGTCCGTGGATTTGGGCCTCTGGTCTGAATCAGCCAGGACCTGGATGTCAAGGGATTTGAATTCTGAGGGGAGAGGAAGCACAGGCTTGAAACCAGGGTTAGCTCCTCACTCGGCCCCACCCTCCTGGGGCCGGGAGAGCAGCTGGAGTTTTCTTTGCAGCTGGGCCCGGAGGTAGCAGAGGTCTTGCTGGTCAAGTCCGTGAGCCAGGCCCAGGTAGAGGGTAAGGAGGAGAGCAAGGAGGAGACGGTCAGTGCCCAAGGTGGGCACCACCCACAGCACGGTCAGCAGCTCCACACACACTGGGTGTCGAAGGTGGGAGAAGAGCCTCAGAGCCCGGGGAGATTTCAGGGCCAGAGGCTCACCCAGCCCTAGCACATGGTAGTACACCTAGGAGAGGGAGGGCAGCTTAGAAATGGAGTCAAGCCCTTTTCACAACTTGGTCACCTCTTCCCTTCCAGGCACCCTCCTCTGTAACTCAGGCCCAGGAACCACCCTTCTGAGTCCCGAGGGGACACTATCATATAAGAAAGGCAGGTAAGGGAGCCAAAAGAGGGAGGTAGAAGAGCCTGGGAGGAGGAGGGGGAAAATCCTTGGCAAGGCAAGAGGTGTTCTAGAAAGGATCAACAGTCAGGATCTGGGAGTGTCACCTGTTTGAGGCCCATGAGCTCAGCGTAGTCAAAGACGAGAAGGATGCTGAAGATGAGGAGCCAGGAAATGACGTGCAGCACAAAGCACAGGAGGGGCACCCAGGTGGCCCAGGGCTCGGCTCGGGCTGCCCACAACACAGGGCCTCTGGGAACTGGCTCCCAGTATCGCATCACCAGCTGGGGAAGAATGAGGGGCTGGGAGACCTACACCCAGAGGCTGCCCCAACCCCAGGTTAGCTTGCAGCTCTCCCACCTTTATCATGAGCATCACCAACAAATACTCAGCATGTGGAGGGTGCTGGGTGGGGTCCCAAGGATGTAAGGATGACCTGTGTCTCCCTGAAGGACTTACAGGATGGGAGAGGATGACCAGAGCAGTGCACGGAGTAGCCTATGCCCAGCACCCAGAGAAGACAGTTGGGTACTAACTGGGAAGACTTCTCTTGTTTTTGAAGAAAGGGGAGGGCTGAAGGAGAGTTAAGGAGAGACTCTCAAGCAGGACATGAACAAGTGAAGTGGTGAGAATGCACGTGCCATGAATGCTGGGGAATGGCAAGCAGCGCACCCTTCTTAACAAAAAGTAGGGTGTGTGCTGTGGAGGAATGGAAGCTAGGATTAGAGACCTGAACACCCTCAGTTCTAAACCCACACTTTTAACAGAAGACTAAGGTCCTTGCTCCTGCAATCTAGGGCATCCTTCCCAGACTCTTTCCCTTAGGGACTCAGTCAGCTTCCATGGCCTCTACCTGCAAGGCCAGGGCAGTGCACGCCACGTAGAGTGACCTCTGAAGAACCCCAAAGTACTGGGACATCCACACCTTCACTGTCTCAGTTGCCATGAGGCTGTGCTGCCCCACAAATAGTAGCAGGAGTCCCAGATCCCAAGCCAGGGGGGCAAGAATGCTGCGGTCCTGAAAGGCAGTCAGCCATCCCTGGGCGGCCTCTAGGGGGAGTTGGAGAAAGAGAGAAAAGAACAGGAAGATGGTGGGAAACATCCCTGACCATCACTGACTCTTGGGGTCCCTGCTATGTCCCTTAATGCTTAAAGAGCCTTAATGCTTCCTCCCTAGGCTTTGCCCACCCCACTTCCCCATTCCGTTTATTCCCTCTTTCCCTGGCCTCCTTCAGAGCTGGGGAAGATGATTCCTGTTGGGCATTACAAAGGCATGGCAGGAGAGGCCACCCTTGCCCCTCCTATTTCACTTCTCCAAATGGCCCCTTTTTAACACTCCTCTCCACAGCCCTCTACAAAGCACTTTCCTTAGCATACTCGGTTTACCGGCCTCCCCTCGGCCCCAGGCCTCCCCGCCCGCCTCTCCTGGCCGCCAATCCCTGACTTCCTCATTTAGCCCGCGGGTCCCCGCAGCGGCGTCTCCGAGCCTTCCTCCGTTCCCTCCCCTCCGCCGCTCCCCAGCCCCGGTCGACAAGCCCCGCCCC